TAGTGATGGTGGTAATGGAAGCGGTGGATGGTGGTAGCGAAGGTGGTAGCAGTGGCGACGACATTAGTGATGATGGTTAGTGGTAGTGATGGTGGTGGTGGTGGTGGTGGTGGGTGGGTGGGTGGCAGAGGTGGTGGTGGTGGGTGGTGGTGGCGAAGGTTGTGGTGGAGGTGGTCGCAAGTAGTGAAAGAGGTTTTTAATATTTAATGTAAAAAATAAAAAGGGTAATATGGTAATATTCAACACTCCTACTTGAAGGAATTTGAATTTCGTTATCTTTTAGATGGAATTTATTTTCCCTCAATGGAATGAAAGTTGGACACATTTAGAAATCCAATTCCTTCTCAAAACTTGAACCAAACATAGGAAAGTGATGGAATTAAATTCTAATTCCTTTCAATTCCAACATATTCCAGTAAACCAAACGACCCCTAATATATTACTCTATTGCATAGAGCGGAAACAAATATATATTGTCATTCTATAAATATTTAAACTATTGAAAAGAAAAACACCAACCTAAGGTGGTTTAAATTACCGGTATCTTAACAAATGCATATTTCTCTTGTCCTTTTTAACAATAAAATAAGTAAATATTAACTTGTGACACAGTGAAAGAGTTGTTTCAAGAAATTACGGTGGCTCCGTGTTTTGTTGCCGGTTTTACAATCACCATTCACGAGCAACGAAACCCAACGAGAAGATGAAAACACAAACTTAAATATTACTCTCGCAATTCAAGGACTCAATTTTATAAACTCCCACTTTGACCGCATGTTAACCAACTAACATTTATGGGTATTTTAATATTCTATATAAATTTTCAATATTTGTTTCGTAATAAATCATAATAGGCATGTAAACCGATTTGAAAACAGATCGAATCAGATCAGAACTGGAAAAAAAAAAAAAAAAAAAACTGAAAATCGAATAAACCATAAACGAAGAACCGAAAACCGGATTGAATACAACTATTTGGTTCCAGCCAATTCTACTAAAAAATATATTCTATTTTAATATTCTATATATATATTTATTTTATTTAAATACATATCACATTATGATTCGTTTAATTAATTTTCCATTAGTATAACATAATTAGCCTAAACTATGGCTAATAGCAATAGCAATAGCAAAAAAATAAAAATAAATAACTAAGAAAAGAAAAACAAAAATTTCACAGTAAACATATTCGAATTTTGTTATTAAAATTTTATTAAGTGAAAATCCATATCCACATGTGAATAGGGTAAACGGTATATATAAAGTGATGAAATAAAACTTGGAAAAAGGGGCAAGTTATTATTTTATTTGAGTTCTGAATTTGGAAAGAAGGCGACAGAAAAATATTCCTATTTTTCATATTTCTTAAGTTGAAAAAAGAAATGGAAAGTGATATTTTTTATACTTTTTCTCTTTACACATATCTTAAACTAAAAGAGAAACTTTATGACATCATCTTAAATAATCTGGACCATTGATTGTATTTCAATCTTATTTTTTCCACCATTAGATCAAATTGCTGACATCATATTCCCCATATGGAATGTATTTAATTCCAATAAATGATTTTCAATCATCAATCAATAACTTACATTCGTTGAAATGGAATGTATTTAATTCCAATAAAAACTTTCCATATTTTACATCTTGAATTTTCAGTTATGAAGATTTTAATATGATCAATTTTAAAAATATATTACTAACAAATCATTTCAAATAAGGCCTTAATATCAACCATTAATATAAATCCATTTATATTAGTAAACTAGTAATATAAAATCTTTTTTTATTAGGAAATCATTTATACCGAAAAATCATATTCAAATCATCACATACATATACGATTCATCATTGAATCCGCGACTCACATTTATTTTCAATCGTTTCTTTTCTTCAAACATTCTCATACAACATCGTTAATATTGCTTATAACTTCCATCATCATTTTCTGCTATCAACATTCGCTCTTGTGTGTTAGAAGGTCAGTACCTTCTTTCGTTTTTTATATTTTTTTCGATCATTTTTTGCTCCTATATCAAATGTATGTATTCATATATTTCGATTTTCTTTGTCACAAATTACATGAAATCAGTTAACTACTTTTCTGAAACTTTTCAAATAAACATGAAAAGGTATTAGGTACCTTTAACAAAACAAAAATTAACTATCCTGGGAAGTGACATTAATTACGAAAATTTTACTTTTATATATTAGAGATGATTATGATTTTTTTTTAATTTTTATGTCATAAGAATCCGGTTAATTTTGGCATGATTTTAAAATATCATTGAAATTATTATGTTTTTATATATCATATCAACCTACTTTTTTATCTTCGTATAGTAACAATAAAATTTATTAATTTACACAACAAATATAGATATTTCAAATTTTGTAATATTATTATACCTTACAGAATACAACTCCTTCCAAAATAAATTTTCGTCAGTAATTTCATCCATAATTTCAACAAATTTAAATTTGTATTTTCTTTATATAATTTTTTTAATGATCCTGATTTTTTTTCTCCAAAAGTATATCAAACATTTACGTTTTAGATAATGCTGCCCTATTATAATTATTATTTTCCAAAAGTATATCCATTTAATGAGGAATTTGATATAATAAAGGAAGTGAATGTTAATTAAAATGAGATATATATTCCATAATTATTACATGAGTTTATTAAAAAAATTAATATCAAGGTGTAAACATTAAACATTTTGAAAGTGAAATTTCAGAATACATACAAACGATAATGTTGTACAATGAAATATAAAAGTGAATAGACTAAAAAAAACACTATTAAAGCAGTCAATCTTGAAAATAACATAGTTATGAAAAATTATAAAGTAAGATTAAAATTATAAGATATTAGAAAAAATAAGAGCGTTAAGATTACTGAAAATACAATATATAAACTAAATTATCACAATAGTAATGAAATGTGATTATTTGATATTTCATATAATTGACAGATATATCAAATTAAATTAATATACTAAAATTATTCAAAGTTGCGCCAAAACTAATGCAAAATTTTTACGAACACTAAATAAATAAGAACAAACATAAAAGCTAGCATTTATATTTATAATCAATTTAAAATAAACCAATCATGATTTAGAAAAGAATCCCATTGATGATATACTAAAATTAAATCTATATAACATTTAACATTTTATAAATTATATTACATAACTTTATTTGAATAAATGAAATAGTTGTTAATATTTAATGCAATAGAAAAAACGGTATATTGATTGTCAATATATGTTTAAATTAGTTAACATTATTATGCAATAAACGTCTAATTAAAATGCTTATAAATATATAAATATTATAACTATATAAGACGAGGAAAATCGTTCAACTAATAAAACAAAAAAATGATGTCTACAAAGAGATCTTTCAATGATTATATATATTTATCGTTTTCAATGTATTTTCTACATATTTCAATAATACCAATAACCATATATTTTTTTAATAATCATTATACAATATCTATAAACGATTATATGTTTTTTTTTATAACGCGGGCTATAATCTAGTATTATATTGGAAAAAGAGTTTTTTTTTTTTTGGTTAATATAGTTTTATAAAACAGTTTCCTTAATTTCCTTCTCTTACTATTGGAGATTTGGAAGATTAAACAAATAATTTTTCTCTTTTATTATTTAAAAAAAAAAAAAAAAAAAAAACGGCAACTAAAGGAAATGGAATTATTTAGGCATTTTGTGTTTGTTTTTGGCACGTTTCTTAGGGGAGATGAAAATTACTATTATTTTTGCATTTCTATCTTTCCTTTCAAAGGCCTACTTATAAGTGTAAGGACATAGGAGCGGTCAAACTCAATCGATTCAAAAAGTGTTGCCACATTAAAATTAACCTTTAGAAATGGTTGTCACTAGCCATTTGAAAATTAAATTAATCTTTTTTTGTTCTGCAATGGATTAAAAAAGAACAGCTTCTTTCCCATTGAATGTCTCCATGTGTCATCACCACCATGAAACCCACTCCACACCCAACCCACCAGCCTCTGAGGTGTGCCACATAGAAAACTCACATGTGAAATGTTTTCCATACCGGATAGTCTAACCAATTTTACGTATACATTTAGCAATTAGATTTATTGTGTTCTTAAAAATAATAATATGATGGGTACCAGTGGGTTTTGCCAGTTTCGTTTCTATAATCTTTGAATTTTCAGTTATCTTCTCCGGTCAACTTTAAATTTTCCGACGAGCCCCACCCTTTTTCATCTATTGACCCAACCTGGAAATCGATCCATCATCAAGACACACAATTTGTAAGTCAGTTAAAAAGTTGGGGGATGTGAAAGTAAATACACGACGACTAAAACCAATCCATGTTCGTCCTTTTAACAGGGCTATCCACAAATCTGCAAATGAATCGATGAAAGGAGTGTGGTTTGTAGCACTCAAGGGCTTTCAAAAATCCTAAATTTTAGAGCTGATTTGTAGGTTCAAACTCGAATATAAAAAATGATTTTAGAGAGATTTGCAGTTCAAACTCGAACTCAAAATCCGATTTTAGAGCCCCTTTGCAGGTTAAAATTCGAGCCATTTTGCATCATATTTTAGAGTTGATTTCAGCTTCCATGTTCTTTGTTGGTTCTCCGTGGGTTCAGGATTTTCAGATTCAAAATCTGATGTAAAACAATCCTAGGGTTCGTCAAACTCAAACTCGAATCGTTCTTGTTCTAGGTTCAGGAACGATTTCAGATTTCTGGAAACCCCTTCAAACGATTTTGAAAAAGCGGATTCAATTTTAGGAATGTGTTTATCCCTTTCAAACGTTTTCGATTTCGAGGGTTTTGTTTCTAGTTTTCAAGAACATGATTTTCAGATTTCACGGGCTTTTGTTTCGGGAATTTTGGTAAAAACGGCCGGAGAAAAGATAACCGGAAAACTCATTTCTAGACGGAAAAGATACCAAAACCCGGCAAAATCCACCAGTACTATCGGTACATTTTAAACGATTTCAACAACTTCAATGAAATATACATTAAAAGAAAAGGAGTAGACAAAGAGAGCCTTGTTTAAGTGGTGATGTTTTGTCGGGTAGTGGAGGCCAGGTGATATGGTACCGTACCCATACCCGTACCCGGTTCCATACGGTAGAAGAGCTAAATCAAATCAAATCAAATCAATCAATATTCAATCAGAGCCTGGAATTACGTAACGCGGGACAACACCTCTTCCTTTCAAGTTCCAACACCAACAAAAATAAAGCCATTCCAAAATAAAATTTTGGACTGGACACTGTCGTTAACACTGCGACAATGACCCGCATATCGATTTCACCCATGTGTACATATATACTCATCAATATCCACAAATAAACACCTTTCCCTTACATTTAAATCTCCTCGAATCCCAAATAAGAAACACTAGACCCCAATAAAAGCAACGGGATCTCACTTGACCACCTCCACTGTCACTATCCCTGTCCCACATAATAGAAGATCCCTTTCATTAAATTAAATTATTACTTCACAACAAGAAACGCAAACCAGTTTAATTAGTCACATACATAATCTCAATCAATCATACATACAACAAATTTGTTTTTCGTTTTTCCCTAAAAGCTCAATCAGGGGGGGGGGGGGGGCTATAGTTTGATCAACATTTTTATCTCAACTTATTTTTTCCTATATACAAAAAAACTATAGCTCTCAAATCTTACAGGACACTGTGTGGGTGGGTGGGTGGGTGGCTGACGTCAGCACACAACCTCCCTCCAATGACCAATGACCAATGACCACTGACCATGCCTTTCTTTTTATCATTATTGGTACAGAATATACGTCTTCTTTCATAAAATTAAATTAAAAAGAAAAAAAGGATTCACATTTGAAGAAGATTATTCACAGTAACAGACACCGAATTTGTTCGCTGCAAATCCTGCACAAATTTAAAACAATGAATTCATATAACGTATGTTGTACAACTCATGTCCATGTCCATGTCCAATTCAAAAAAATAAATAAAAAGGAATTGAGAGAGAGAGGATAGGTACCCGTAATATTAATTCATCAGGGACATGGGGGAGGACTTCACGAACGGTTTCAGCCATGGCGATTATGTTTGACAAGTCAACATCCAGGACAGGTGGAGGTGGTGTGGTTCTGATGAGGGACCCACCGCCAGCAGTGTGTCCTCCTCCTCCTCGGTGTCTTACAGTACTTGTGGAAGGATTTGGATTGTTTGAAGAAGAAGTAGATGTAGATGTGCTGGCCTGAGAGTGGGAGGGATTTACAGGCCACAGGTTCCAAGCAGCATCTTCAAGGGCAGTTTGGGCATACGTTTCACCAACTGCTGCCAGGTGTCTCATCATCATCTGGACTCTTCCTAAACCCACAGATCTCGATGGACCCGCCCCCCCATCAAACCCCAACCAACCTGAATCCGCCTCTAACCTCCTACTCCCCCCCCCACCAAAAAAAAAAAAGTTATTCTTCCAAACAAAGCAGCTGGTCCACACTGTACATGAAAAAGAAAAAGAGAGATAAAGCACCTCCAATCATCATGGTGATCTAAAGGGCTCTGAATTTGATTTGGAACTAGTGTGGGACCAGGAACACTTTGCTGACGGCTTAACTGACGTGCAAGCTGTTCATCTCCTGAAACATCTACAGAATTCCCTACTACACCTACACTGTTGTTACTGTTACTATTACTGTTATTATTGTTGTTTCCTCCTTCAGGTGTGCCACGGCCAACAAACAAGGGTTTTCGACACGTCGGGCATGAGTAGTTGTCGCTTAGCCCTTGGTCCAACCTGTCGTCCGCCCACACATGCCACGTCAGCAATCCAACATAATGATATATCAACTTTAATGGAAATAAAATTAAAAAAAAAAAAATGATATGGAATTGTACCAGGATCTAAGGCAGGACAGATGGAAAAGATGGTTACAGGAGAGCTTCTTAGCCTTGGCCATTGGTTCCTGAGGATACAACACCCATAATTTTATAGATACGAAAACTGACAAAATATATATATTTAAAAAAAAAATAAAAATTAATTAACTAATTTACCCGGCAAATGGCACATTCATCATCATAAGCTTGTATCTCTTCAGATGTTGCATCAGGGAGAGCCCCATGAAGGGTTCCCAAAGCGATTCTTAACTTAATAAAACCTCTTGTACGCTTTGCAACTGCACTTACCAACGCCTGCATATCACAAATGAAAATAGATTCTTGTAACGAAAAGTAGCATCATGCTGTTTTTTTTCCATTTGTAAAAAAAAAAAAAAAAAAAAAAAACTTACGCGTATATTTAAGAAAAGCATTGCATCAACAAGATGGAATGTCATGCCATGAAGGCGCCATATTTGTACATAATGACCCAGAGCCATTAACAAAGTCATAATATCTAGGAAAAACCCTACATTCCTTAATATAACACTCTTCCACTCCCACAGTGAACCTGCACACATCCATTCCCATCATTTTTTTTATTTAACAACTCAATGCGAATCAGCACAACACAATGATAAAAATCACAGACCCTTACCTGCTGCCGACATATCTAAAAGCTTTGATATTTTGGAATTTGTGGTGTTGCCTGCTGAGTGGTGAACCCATATATCAACCAGTTGAAACCCATGAACCAAAATCGCCTAAAACCAAAAACATTATTAAAACCTAGAAAGTATATAAATACATAGGTCAGCATGTGTGGTGTATGTGTATGTAACATACCTGTAGTGTTTCGAAAGCAATACTCAGAGGCTCAAAGAATAATAACAAAAACATAGACGATGGTATTGTTTGGTAGATCAGTAGACATGTCCTTATCCTGCAAATAATATACGAAAGAGAGAAGTAAGCATGAATAAGGAAGTTGTTGAGATTTATGAAATAGTAGAACTGTAGAGCAAATACCAGACTGCATCGACAATGACAACCAGCAATAAAACACAATATACACGGAAGTAAGTCCATGGAGTTGCAGAAGGAGATGCATTCAATCGTTCAAGCCGATCCCTAGCTAGAGCTTGAAACATCTGCACAAAACAAAAAAAAGTAAAACCCATTCAAAAAAAAAAAAAAATTCTCCATATCTTTACTCCAAAAGCATGTGAGGTAATAGTAATAGTACCTTCAAAGAGCATAATACAGTCAACCATGTTGACCACAATCCTGCTCTAACTAATGTTGGTGGTACTACCAATGGAAGAAATGTTCCCTTGTAGATAACATAATTAACTAGTCTCTCCACCGTTTTCCGAGATTCAGTTGCATGCAGCTCATCAAAAAATATTGTCTGCATGAACAAATACATCATCAATAAAGTATCATTGACTCATTGTAAAGATTTAGGAAAGTTGAATACCTTAAGAGAGAGGATGATGAGTATAAAAATGTTGAGGACAAAATTGACCACCAATGCAACTGTGGTATAAGAACTTAACAACAGTTCCAATACACGGTTGGCAACACCAGGGTGGAGAAGGTTTTCACCCATCAAACCATCTGACTTTAGTTTCACATAAGAAACTTCTGTCCAATATTGGAGGCCTATAAAGCTCAACACTGTGCAGACTGCTGATATTGATAAATACCCCACACCCATAGGATACAATGTAAATTTCATCAGGGCAACAAAAGTTCCAGGATTTCATGAGATAAAAATATACATGATCTCCCTTGCCCACTCAACTGCTCACTATGCAGGATTATGGAGAAGCCCACAAACTATAACTTAGTTTGTACACCTCCCCAAGGTCTTGATCTCAATATAAGTCACCTGCATCAGAATATTAAAGAATAAGAAGGAACCATGCCATACTTTTAAGTTTTAGCAAACAATATGATTTTCTAACCGATTATCTTCTCATGCTCTTATCACATTACTAGAAGCTATACCAACTCTAATCAAATCCAATGTGGAGAGATTCGGTGATGATACTTGTGATTAATATAAATTGAGCAATTCATTTTCTTCTTTGTAAATTGATAGATAGATATTCAAGGAAACGCCTTCCCCTTTTCGATCAGAAAGAAAAACGGAAGCGGAGTTCAGCACTTGCTGCCCTCTTTGGATCAATTTCAAAGTGGTCGAACTAATTGAATGGAATTCGAAATTTAATCGGGGACTGAGAATAAAATCTTTGGAAAGCAGTCAAACAACATAACATCTAGTAGAAATGTGATTGTGGATCCGATAAGAAAAGTCAAACAGTAACGGTGAAACCCTAGAATTCCTTCTAGTTAAAATAAAATATCAAACAAAAACCACCAAAACGAAGAAATGAAAATCATAAAACCAAGTCCTTATATACATACAAAAATCCTGCAAGTAGAGAAGAAGAAACAGGGAGACGTATATTGATAAGCTGATTGCATCTAGATACCACGATATGAAACGATGAGGAAATCAGGTCAATAAAAAATACCGAACCTGTCTTGATCCAAGACGAAGATGTGAAGTATTGGGCGAAAAATTATCCGATCTTGGCCGAGCCTGGTGCGCACACACACGCAGATTAGAGAGAGAAAATTGGGGGGAAAGCGAAGGGAAGAAAAATATAAAAGAAAGGGAAAAGCTGAATAAATTTGCAAGTGATATGATATCTTCTTCTTGTTCCTGCGGTGCCTTTTTTTGTCCTTTACCAACTTCGTTAGGCATAATTTCCTTGTCGTTGTGGTTTTTTAACCCTTTCTGTAATTTTGACTTATCTATGAATATTAATGTTGCATGTTTGTTCTATGTTATTTTTATACTGTGTTAAAATTAGAACTAAAATGTCTGTATAAAGACGTATAAAATTAATTGAAAGTTGACTTAAATGTATTCAAATTGATACAATCTCATTAATGGTCAGATAAAAATCATTTAAATTATTATTTATAATCATATAAGTCTTGTACAATTAACTAATTATTTATTTATAAAATTTTAATAAAGAATATAAAAATTGTTCATGGATCAACCTAATATGATGTGTTTCCATCTGCTCTAAAAAAAGTTGCCTCTTAACCATTTAGTTAAGTGGAAAGGTTCAAACCATTTAGACTTTGATATAAAAAAGAATTATTACCTATAAAATCACATTGAAAGACATTTAGATTGTTTAATATGGAAAATAATCATGTCTAATAGAGTAAGTCGGAGGGGCTATAAGCTTTTAACCATTCAGCAAAAAAAAGGAGTCTGAACTAACAAGAAAAAAAAAAAAAAGACAACATTTGCTTTTCCATCGATGTCTTGCCCATTGCCGATTGACATCCTCTCCCAAGCTCTCATCACCGCCTTACAAAATCGACCACTCATCACCCTCTGAACCATCGACGCCCCTAAAATAGACACTCCACCAATTAGCATATGTGAATGCAAGGATTTGTTTGGACAAGTTTTAGGAACTCAACACATTGAAATAACTTAATATCAATGATTGTTTGTAAAGAAGATCCGGTCAAGTTTGGTGAACGAGTCTCGTCTCAGAATAGATATATTCAATAAAGTGTTCAATATAGAATAATAATAAGTATGAATAATGTAAAACAAATTAAGAACAAGAAGAATTTAAAAGAATGATTCTTGATTTGATGGAGTGAAAATGTCCACACTTTTCTATCTTGATACAAAGTGTGATAACTACTTAAAGAGTCAAGGAGTTACTAAAAGACAAATCAAATAAAGTACGCATAAATTGTGAGACGATTGAAGATCAATGAACTGACACGGTCATTATTGTTGATCTTGTTTCTTGTACTATACTAAGGGGTTTTTCGGCAGGATCTGAATTTTTAAGATCTGAATTTTTAAGAGATCTGAATTTCTAAGAGGTCTGAAATTTTAAGAGCTGAATGTTTAACATGTTGTTTAGTTGGCACATCTGAATTGTTGTGCTGAATTATTAAAATGATCATTTTACCCTTCTGTTTTAATTTTTATTGAATTCAATTATTTATTTAGAAAATAACCTAATAAATTTCTTAAATATGTATTTAAAAAAATATATAAACACCATATAAAATCCAAATTTATCATAAATCAAAATTAAACACAAATCCAATTCAAACATAAATATTTTAAATCCACAAAATCATAATAAAATCCCAATAAAATCCTACAAATTTAATTTTATTCCAATTGATTCGCAATCTGATCACGCAAATTATCCATGTATTCATTCTCTCCCGCTTGTTCTTGAGCATTGTTCTCCTCGAACGCCATAAATAACTCATCATGAATATCGTATTTTCTTATGAAATTGTGGACTGCAAAACAAGCAACGACTATATCTCTTTGCACTGAAAAATGAAAAGGAGCCATTCATTTTAGGATTGAGAATCTCGCCTTCAAAACACCGTAAGCACGTTCAATAACATTTCTGAGTTGCGCATGTGTTGCAGTAAGGAGTCATAAATCCACGAGTGTTGGTGTATGCAACATCGCAAAGGTAATATTAATCTATACACATGAGTGAAGGAAGTATTATATATAGAAATTTAAAATCGTATTTTTGAATCAATTTAAAAAGAATTACAAACCTGGAGGAGAGAATGGAAAGCCTGAAGTCGGGTTACATGCAACTTCTTTCAAAACTCGCGAATCATGTGTTATACCCTCCCAACCGGCCCATACGAATGTGAATAGCATATCAAAATCACAAATTCCTAAAACATTTTGAAAGCATTCACCTTTTCCTCTTCCCCTGTAGCGAGTTTGTTGATCAGCAGGCACGACTGCATGTACAAGAGTTCCATCTAACGCACCTATAGCTCCAAGAAAGATTTCTTTTAGCCTACGATGTCTCTCTGAGTCTTTTGTTTTTTTGATTGAGCAGATGACTCGTCACTGAGACCTACAGTTTCGTGTTGAGTGCAATCGATGTCATCAAAGTCATGCAAACTATAGTGGCTTGAGTCTTGAGTAGGACGGGGAAGGGTAGAAGTTGGTCCCCAACTACGCATGCCTGTCGCAGTCGCGCCTTCAAATAACTATGTGCAAAGGTCGGGGTACGGTAGTGGTGTGCGTCTCAAAGAATCCACATGTTTGTTTGACTGTTTGGAAAAAGTATTTTATTATTTAAAAACATGAAAATCTATTTTTTATAAATTAATAAAATACCTTCGCTTCTTGTTCCCATTCTTCTTTGGAAAGATTGAAGTTGTTGGTTGTTGAACTATACACATTACCGGTTTTGTTTTTTAACTTCAAAAAAGCACCAAACTTTGACTTTAGGTAGTCGTAGCGGTTCTTCATTTGTTTTTGGTCGGCAATAAAGTTATGTTCAATTTTTAGTGTTTCGGCTACATTCCTCAAAGAAAGTGCTTTCAAACTACTCCATTCCCGTCCATTGACCGTAACTTCACGTAAACAAGCTTCTAGAAATGTTTTCTCTACACCTTCTACCTTCCAACTAATCTTATCCTTCTTTTCTCCCATTTCTTTGATCAACTCAACAAAAAAAATGCATGTTTTAGCAACAAGTTATGCATTGTAAATACACATTTTTAGCAAAACTAATGCATATTTCCTAATAACAGCAAGAACATATATGATTTCACTATAACATCAAACACAAATATATCAACACTTCACTATAACATCAAACATAAAAACATTGAACACAAACAGTTGAATATAAAAAATCAAACATAACAGGAAAGACTGCAAACATAACAGGGAAATCAAACATAATAATAGAACATCTCAACATTCATTATGTCCATTGAAAACATTCAGATTCGTTCATTTAACATCAAACTCAACATATAACATCATATAACATCAACATATAGTAGGAAATCAACTTTTTTAACAATAATTTTCGTTTTTTTAACAAATCAGCATATAACATCAACATATAGCAGGAAATCAATTTTTTTTTTTTCATTTTTTGAAGAAATCAGGAACAAATACATAAGCTGATTTGTCTATTTTTTTTTATTTTCAGGTTTAGGAGCAGCAACAAATCAGTTTTCAGAAGAAGGAAGATAGAAGAATCGCAAAAAAAAAAAAAAAAAAAAAAAAAAAAAAAAAAAAAAAAAAAAAAAAAAAAAAAACGATTTTCAGAAGCTATAACATACCTGATTTCGTTTTTTAAACAAATCAGGAACTGATTTCTATTTTTTAACAATAATAATGAACTAATTTCGTTTTTTTTTAACAAATCAGGAACATATAAACATAAAATGCTATTGATTTTGATTTTCAGGTTCGGGAGGGAATACGATTTTTAGAAGAAAGAAGAAAAGCAAATGCGCGAGAGGAAGAACATCATACCTGAATCGTTGGCGGGAGGCGGGTGGACTTTCGGTGGTGGTGGCGGCGGCGTTCCAGGGAGAGGCGTCGACGGGGAAGATTGAAGGCGACATCGGATCTTGCTGGTGAAGAGAACAGCGGGAGGAGCATATGCGAAGGAAAATAAACGGAAGAAAACTCACGAATGGGTATTAGGGCAAAATAAGGGACGCGACTTCTTTTTTTAATTTTCAGACACTGCTCCAGATCTGAAAAAATAAGAGGCAAATATAGTTTTAAGAGGTAAAAATTAAGATGCAGACAAACGATCTGAATCTGATTTTTTAAGACATTACCTCTTAATTTTGCAATTAAGAGGTAAACAAACGGACCCTAAAAGACATTAAGAATAATACAAAATAGTACTTGATACAATTAATGCATTACAAACTCAAATACTTCTAAACAAAGATAAATATCGAACATGTCTTCACTTCAGAATTGCTTCATTCGGAATCAATATTGATCTCAGACACCTTCATCTCGAATTGCATAAGGATCACTTTTTCATGTTCCAACAATCTCCCAAGTGACCTTAGAAATCTTTCACCTTTTACTTGGTTTCTTTAAATACAAACAGATAAGCCTTTTGAAGCTAGCTACGGACCTCGATGTACCACTGAAGATGCTCAATCAATTTCTTCTTAATGTGTTCAGGAGAATCACTCTTAGCAGCATTAAAGATCAACTTTTGAAGAATCTTGGTTGGAACAAGTTGTTTGCCAAGAACTTGGAAAAATTCTTTTCAATTTATCTTTTACTTGAGATAGACAAATCCAAGTCCAGGTTCTTCAATAGGGCCTTTGGCTAGGATCTATTCTTCAGGAAGCTCAAAGCTAATCTTTGCCAGCAAATTCTCTATTCCAAACAGATGAGAAAATTCCACATCTGATCGATAGAATTCGGCTAAGTAGTCCTTCAGGAAATTGATGGTTGTGTTGAATGCTCTACTGCTTGATTCATTTGATTGAGAGAACCCCTTCTCTAAACTTTAAAGTATTACTCCAAACATGCTACATGCATATTCATAATATAATTTACAAAAAGGTCTGGATACAAACCAACTATTAAGATTTTTACAAAGTTTTATATATTACAAAACTTTCCAGAAATTTATACCCTAAGTACAAAAGTGATAATATTAACTATTCTACATCTTCCAACAATACATGACTATATTGGATGCTTATCACCTGCAATAGTTAAGCACTGAGAGGGATAATCGGGTGACGCTTAGTGAGTTAAAAAATGGATACAGTATAACGTTATGTCATATATATAATAATATGACAGAAGCAAAGAGGGACAAAGAACAACAAAAACATATATGTATCGTATGACAGACTTTCCATATCAACCAATGATTTGATTCAAAGATTTACAATCAATGAGATACAACAATTTCAACATGATATACATCAATAAGACTTCACCCCAAGTGGCACACAAAATAAACAATTTCTGATTATCATTTTGCTAGAATATACAGGCTTTCAGCCCTATCTAGCCTGATGCCAATACCAAAAGTGATACAAGTCATGCTCTACATGACCAAAGCCACAAAGCCACTATCAGAAGTGATACGAGACATGCTCTACATGGTCAAAGGAATAAATCCAATACCAGAATAATACGAGACATGCTCTACATGGCCAAAGGCTCAAAGCCAATACCAAAAGTGATACAAGACATGCTCTACATGATCAACGATATAAAATCAGAATAACATAGGAAAGAACATTGCACATATAACACATAACATACAATTATCCCTATACTGAACTCACCATAATATAACCGAATGATGAAAAGATAATTTGGGCAACACTTCGTTTCTAAAAATAACTTTCTTCGACGAAACCGAGAGTTTTTGTTGAAAATCAGGCTTTGTGCGGGAAGAGTTTCGACTGAAAATATTATTTTCTCAGGGTCTTCAGTGCTCCGGGGTTTGCTTCGGGTGTTGGGGTGATTATCTAGGCTGCGGGGGGTGTTAGGGTAATTTCTAATTTGAGAGAGAGTAAAGGGTGAATGACTATCAAAATTGTAAACAAAATTCAGAAGGCTCGCTTTCTATTTATAGTATTCCGAAGACTCTCTGTACGTTGGGCGTAATATCATGATACGCGGGGTGTGCTCCTTTACCAGCCACTATGTTGGGCGTAAGTTTGCAGTACGCGGGGCGTACTCCTTGAGAACTTATACACTAAGCGTAATCTCGTACGTTGTTAATTGTATTTAATATGCGTTTTTATAACTATTCTAGCTCTTATATTAGGATTATTGCCATAAAAACCATCATATTTACATGAAATGTATTGTTATGTCCTAAGTCCAAATTTGTGTTCATTAATGTCTAGCATTTAGGTAACTTTTTTTTGTCATTTTGGGCTTTTTATCAGGTTGTGAACAAGTAGTCGGTCCCCTGAGGGCTTTTATATAAATATAAGGGCAATCTTAGTGGCTAAAATGCTACATTTATACATTTTCATCAGAAAAAGAACTCCAAAGTTTTGGAACTTGGAGATATGAGTGATGATGATCTTCTGAATACCATGATGTTGAGATGGTGAAGATGATGATTTCTTTATTAGTGGTGGTGGTGGTTTTGGTGACGGATGGTGGTGAAATAGTGTGGTGGTGGTAGAAGGTAGTGATAGTAGACGGTATTGTTGGTGGCAAAGGGTGGTGGTGTCGGCAGAGTGTGGTGGTGGTGATGTGTAAACATAGGGGTTTTTATGGCAATAGTGACCAATTAAGAGGATGCAAAACTTAATAAGAGGTTAACAGCCTCTGATAAACCTTTATTTTTTGAGATGTCGTTTTACTAAATGTTTTACACCTAAGATCTAACAATTCAACAATGAAGTAACATTTGGCCTATAAATGCACTTTTTACAACAAATAAACAAAGCCGTATTAAGTTATATAGGATATCAATAATATTTTTAAGATTGTAGTAATTATATTTATTAAAAAGAATCATAAAATTTTTTAAAAATAATATATAAATTATAATTATTATGTTTCTTAAGTTATATCGAAGATAGAGACTTTTTTCTAATAAATTTCCCAAAAAAAAATCAATAATATCAAAGAATATATTAATAACGATCAAATTAACTTTACAAGTTTCTAACATATCTTATCTTTTTAAAAATAAAAGTTAAACCTTTATAAGCAAACAAATCAACAATTTTAAAATCTAACTTATCAAAAAATATCTAATAGCATTACAATCGTTATCTTAGTATTTGGAAGATAAAAAAGGACGCTCAATGATTTGATATAAATTAAAGGTTAAAAAAGAAGAAGCATATAACTATTAATTAAAAAAAATTAACAATTCCCTTTAAAATGATGGAATACAAGAGAAAGTGATATTAAACTATTGAATTTGCGTTAAATCAAGGGAAAATGACTCTTGAAGGTAACTATCTCTTGGGTTTATTTTCATTTGGTCCTTTTTTTAGTACTCAATATACAATCGAACTTGTTGTTTGTGTTCACCATAACCTTTTGACCTGACTTGTGATAGACGATCAAAGGATTATGGTGAACACAAACAAGTTCGATGATATATTGAATACAAAAAAGGAAAAAAAAAAAAAAAAAACTAAATGAGAACAAACTCAACAGTTAGTTACCCTTCTGAGTCATTTTCCCCGAAAAGTTAAATGAAATTAAAGTTGCAAGATTATCAAAGAGACAAAGACTGTAACCTTCTTTGACCATAACGTATATGAAGAGTGTTTCAGAGCGGTAACTTCGTTAAAACATGGTCTATGTTATACTTACTGTAGTTAACTGTCAACACCTCTCTACAAAAGGATAGAACTGTGTATGAGAAATATCTTTATCAGCATAAACGTTTACCTCAATGTATATTATGGTGATGTGTCTGCAAAATCTGCATAATATGGTACATATTGATGTTGTATCTTATACCGTGAATTTGATCTTAAAGCTAAGTAAACTAAAAAATTACAGCACTTGTGATTCCACTCGTTTGTAGACTTGTCTAGAATCCATGATACGATAAATCATTTGATTGGAAATGTAAATGTAGTCAATGAAATGCACCTACTTAGTCAAGATTGTCCTAATAAATATTCAAGTGCATTAGAAAGTTGTACATGTATGAATAATGTTCTTTCATGGGTTATGTTTTGAAGAGAAACAAGAATGAATCTCATAAAGTCATTAATATCAACATGAGATGGCGTGAGATTTGTTGTAAATGAGTAAAGAGAAAATGACTCAACATGGTAACTAACTGTCGAGTTTGTTTTCATTTGGTTCATTTCTTTTTTTGTACTCAATATACCATCGAACTTGTTGTTTGTGTTCACCGTAACCCTTTGACCGACTATCATAGGTCAAAAGTCGGTTAAAAGGGTTATGATGAACATAAACAACATGTTTGATGGTATATTGAGTACAAAAAAGGAAAGAGACCAAATGAGAACAATTGCAACAGTTAGTCATTTTCATTTAAATCAATCATTAAACTTTGTTTAAGTTGTAGAAAGTGGTAAATAAACTTGCTATCATCAATCATAACGATCGATTTGAATAAAAAATAAAAAGTTCAGTAACCCTTTACAACTTAAACAAAGTTTTAGTGACTAAAGTGTTGTTTGATTTTTATTTGTAGATCTTCTTGTCCTTTTTTGTATGTGTTGCACAGATCACACATATACATTAACTTTTGCAGTTTGTTTGCTTTTTAGAAGACAACACACCTAAAAATGTATTTGCATCATCTCCTTGGTACATATGTGTATTAGAGTCTTTTAACATATTCAAACATCTTTTAACCTAGAAAAAAAACACTTATATCTTTGTTTTTTGTTTTTTTTTTTATAGAACTTAGATATATTCAAACTATATCGATGATAAACAAATTGGAAAAAAAGCTACAATAATTCAAGAAAAAAAAAAGTCCGATAATACAATCATGACTTTTTTACAAATTTATAAATAATGATTTGATTACGATAATGATTGTTAGAAATGTCTATAAAGGTATAAAAATAATCATAACATTGTCTTATATATTTATTTGCAAATTTTATAAAAAATATTTAATGCAACATTATCAATTTCATGAA